TTAGCAAGCCTGCCCAGAGGCTGGTGCCACAGCTGGCTTTGGGTAGATAGATCACCCAGGAGATGCGTCCCAGCTCACATTTGCTGGGGATTTACCACATGCCAGACCTTGAACTATATGCATGAGTTCCGTCTCATAATCAACAGAACTGTGTTGTAGGTGACAGTTGATGTTTTGTTTTACAAATGAGCAAACAGAGGTTGAGCCAGTTGCTTTAGTCATAGGCTGGGAGGACCTCACCCGTGTCCAGAGCCTGTGTTGGCACCACTGGTACCTGCTGTACGCCTGGCTAGAGCAAAGGGATGCTGGTGCTTACATGCGCCTCGTGTCCCCCCTCCAGTATGCCATTCTGATGACCATGGTGCTCACCATCTTCATCAAGTATGTGCTGCATTCCGTGGACCTCCAGAGCGAGAACCCCTGGGACAATAAGGCTGTATACATGCTCTACACGGAGCTGTTCACAGGTGACAGGAGCCGGGGCCTCTTCCGATCCATGCCAGCATCCTGCATGCCTGCCAGCTCTGTGGCCAGCTGTGCTCTCCCTTTCCTCCCCAGGCTTCATCAAAGTCCTGCTGTACATGGCCTTCATGACCATCATGATCAAGGTGCACACCTTCCCACTCTTCGCCATTCGGCCCATGTATCTGGCTATGAGGTGGGTCCAGCCTGTCCCTTCCTTGTCCCTTCCCTGTCGCAGACTGCTCTCCCCACCCTCCTGCCTGCACTCACAGACTTGTCTCTGCAGGCAGTTCAAGAAAGCCGTGACCGATGCCATCATGTCTCGCCGAGCCATCCGCAACATGAACACACTGTAAGTGGGCTCATCCGGGCCACTCTCCCAAGCTCTGTCCTGATCACTTTGCAGCAGGTTCTGGTCCTGACATGTGCTCTGACATGTTGTCCAGGTACCCAGATGCCACCCCCGAGGAGCTGCAGGCAATGGACAATGTCTGCATCATCTGTCGAGAGGAAATGGTGACAGGCGCTAAGAGACTGCCCTGCAACCACATCTTCCATACCAGGTGGGACAGGGGCCAGGGCCTGCATATTGGGCACAGGCTCATGGGAACCTGCTCACCACTGCCTGATCTTGCTCCCAGCTGCCTGCGCTCCTGGTTCCAGCGGCAGCAGACCTGCCCGACCTGCCGTATGGATGTCCTGCGGGCATCTTTGCCTGCCCAGTCACCGCCACCCCCTGAGCCTGCTGATCAAGGAGCACCCCCTGCTCCTCATCCTCCGCCACTGCTGCCACAGCCTCCCAACTGTAAGTGGTCCTTCATTTGCTCTCAGATGACCTTCCTTGCCTTCAGGTACTTGCCTTGGGCTGGGTATTGACAAAGCTGGGGAATCCCAAATGTCTGCCCTCCAGAAGCCCATCCTGGGCAGGAAGGGGTAAGATGAGAAATAGATAAATGGCCAGTGGTAAGCTCGGGGGCCTGTAGGCGTGGAGGTCAGCTCCTAGCCACACATCATGCTTGGGAGGAGGAACTTCCACTTACCCCTCTTCTCACTGCCGTTTTCTCCGCAGTCCCCCAGGGCCTCCTGCCTCCTTTCCCTCCAGGCATGTTCCCACTGTGGCCCCCAATGGGTCCCTTTCCACCAGTCCCACCTCCCCCAAGCTCAGGAGAGGCTGCAGCTCCTCCGTCCACCAGTGCAGGTGAGTCTTTTGCATGCTAAGGTAGCTGGGAGTGGCAGAGTCACATCTGGAGACTGATTTTTGTTCTGTGCTTTGCCAGCTGTTTCTCGGCCCAGTGGAGCAGCCACCACCACAGCTGCTGGCACCAGTACTTCTGCCCCAGCATCTGGTGCTGTCCCTGGCCCAGAAGCTGCCGCTGCCCCTGGCTTCCCCTTCCCTCCTCCTTGGATGGGTATGCCCCTGCCCCCACCTTTTGGTAAGTTGGCTACTCTCTGGGATGTTCAGGGTAATGAGGTCAGGCCCAGGTAGCTCAGACTGACCTCTGCCTCCCGCCAGCCTTCCCCCCAATGCCTGTGCCCCCTGCGGGCTTTGCTGGCCTGACCCCAGAAGAGCTGCGGGCGCTGGAGGGCCATGAGCGGCAGCACCTGGAGGCCCGGCTGCAGAGTCTGCGCAACATACACACGCTACTGGATGCTGCCATGCTGCAAATCAACCAGTACCTCACTGTGCTGGCCTCCTTGGGGTATGCATGCCAGATTCTAGTAGAGCTCAAAAAAGGTCCCTTGTAGTTTGTGACATTTGTCTTCCCTGTACTGTGTAATGCATTCTGCTGCCTCAGACCACCTATCTACAGGCACGTCCGGGAGCTCTTGGTCATGCCTAGCTTTTAGCCTTCAACGTGCATCCACAGCTGTGTAGAGCCAGTGTTTATTAGTGAGCTGACTTTGGGATTTATTCCCATTTTTCTAAACTCCAGTTAATCCTGACATTGGCTACTACAGCTCATCATCACCTTATACATTCCTGACACTCAGGGAGCAGATAGTAGAAAATCACTTCAGGCTAGCCTCTTCCATGTTCAAGTGCTAATCTCATTGCTTCCTTGCTTTACATTGGAATAGGGATGGAAGAGAAACCGAATTCCCAGTCACAGGTGACATGTGCAAAGGGCTGGTCAGTAGCTGTAGTAGTCCAAGGCTTGAGCATTCAGACTTCCCTCTAAACTAACCTCACCTCTAAGGTGCCCAGCTCCCTAGGTGGAGACTGAGGAGAACATGACATGGGTCAGCTGTCTCTGCCTGCAAGTGATTTACAACCCATGGGGCTAAGTCATCTGAGACTCGAACCCACATGTGTGCACTTAGGTCTGCTTTTCACAAGAATTCAAAGACAGCTTGCCTTAGAGCTTGTCCTGCAAAGGCTCATGGTGGTGGTGGTGGTGTTTGGTGATGGGAAAACCTGTCTAACCCAGGATGCCGAGGTCAGGCCTCTTTTGTCCCTTCTCTTGCCAGGCCCCCCAGGCCAGCTACTTCTGTCAACCCCACTGAAGAGGCTGCCTCTGCAGTGGTAGCTGCTGCCCCCTCCACCAGCGTCCCCAGCTCTGAGGCCCCATCCCCATCCCCAGGAGTCTCCTCACCAGCCCCTGAAGCTGAGAAGCCTCCGGGTAGGTGTGATTAACCTTGAGAGGTGAGGATGAAGGACTCTCTGGGTTCTACTTGTGACCTCTCTGTCCAGCTCCTGAGTCGGTGGGCGCTGCAGAGGAGCTTCCTGAGGACGGAGAGCCTGATGCTGCAGAACTCCGCCGGCGTCGCCTGCAAAAACTGGAGTCCCCTGTTGCCCACTGACACTGCCCAGACCTGGCCCTGCTCTCGAGCGGCCCTCTCTGGAACACATCCTGCCACCAAGTGCCAGCTCCCTGTCTGTACCAGGGAGTAACCCCCAGCTGAGAAAGAAGTGGCAGGATCTCTGAGGCCAAGGCAAAGTGGCTGGGTTCATGGTTGATCCGTCCCGATGGCCCTGCAGCCAGGTGATGTTGGTCAGCTCTAACCTTCCTCTACCACTTGTGCTGTGTTCTGCTGGGGCCTTGGAAGTCGAGGCTCAACCTCTGGGAAGCCTCCCCTCTGCTTTCTGGAAGAAGGTGAAGCCCCTCCAGGCCCTGCTTGTGAGCGTGGGACCACGCTGCAGTGCCGAACAGTATTACTTCTGTTCCCAAGTGTGGAGACCCGAGGGGCTGAAGACAGACCAGGACCTTGCCCCCCCCCCCCCCCCCGCCTGGACTGATACCGGTCTCCTTCCTCTACCCCAATCTCAGAAGCCCCTTTGTGATGGTGGCTGTGCCCCCTAAGCCCTGTGGCATTTCCATGTCTTACTGGCAACCACACAACTCAGGGAAAGGAGTGCCTGGGGGTGGGGGACAGGCGGGCAGCACTGAGGGACCCTGTCCTGCCCCTCCCCAGGCTCTTTCCCCCCCCCCCCATCTCACCCAGCAGCCACTGCCTGGTGGGCCTGGCTGAGGGTGTGTGCTGTCTCTAACCACTGCTCCCCAGAATCCAAGGCAGGCCCCCTCCAACCCGCAGGACCGAGTTCAGGATTGGAACTGTTTCTGTACCTAGTGGATTTGGGCTTACTTTTGTCTTTTTGATTTGAATGCTTGGATCCAGGAAGGAGAAGCAGGTGTGAGGCTAGGTACCTGAACTTTCCCGTTTAGAATAGGCTCTGGGCCATGCAGAGACCATGGAGCCAAGGCCTAGCTGCTTCTGTCTTTCTTCCTTTTGGTTTTGTGTTACAGGAGTTTCTGGAGACAGTTTCAGATGATTATTTAATTTGTAAATATTGTACAAATTTTAATAGCTTAAATTGTATATACAGCCAAATAAAAACTTGCATTAATGATTGGTGGGGCTTGTAACTTAGGGTGAGGCTCCTTTTCCTCGCCCAGCCTGTAGACTCATGACTCATCTGTGGTCTCCTGGGATGAGGATGCCAAGGTCACTGAACAACTAGACATCCATCTTCCACATGGAGAACCTGAGCTCCGGGAGGCTGGCATCTCTTCTACCTTAGGTCTGAAGTCAAGCAGGGCAGTCAGGATCTGAACGCTACTTAACCAATTTAATGGTGAAGTTGGACAAGTGGCTGATACTGGATGAGACAGCAGGATGAAAAGACTTGATTTTCTTGTCGTCAAACTTCTATATAGCTGATTCCAGGACAGCAGGGTGATGTCCCCAACCCTATTATACACACTCAGAACCTAAGATATTCTTTTGTCTGTCTTGTCCATTTCAGTCTGTCATTGTCCTGTGTTGTCTGAGTATGTTTTCCACATTTGCTACCAAGACTAGTCTGGCTTACAGCAAAAGCTCCAGAAAAATCAAGAATGCATGTCCCTAATGGGGCTGTCCTGTGAAGTCCCCAGAACAGGGTTGGGTGGTTGTTTCCAGAATGGCTCACATAAGAAATGTACCACAGTGTTTAAAGATTTAAAGAGATAGCAGTTGAGTGTCTCCCTTGCTAGCTTGACTGTGTCTTGTGGCTCCCACATTGAATAGCTCTCCCCAATTGGACACTTAACACCAAGGTCTTTTTCCTCTTTATGAAAGCAAGGACTGATCTCAAAGCTCTTTAGGTACTTTTGAATCCCATTCCAGAGACTCCAAATCCACTTCCTCTCTGAATGCCAGTCTGTGGAGGAACTGCCGTGGGGCTGATCATCAGGTCAGAAGCCTTTCTCAAGAAGCCAGGCTTTAAGCTGCTCATCAAAGTAGCCCTTGATTCGAAGAGTCCCTGTCACCTCATTAACCTGGGTGATGGGTGTTCTTCCCAGCTGTGGGCTCAGAAACTCTTCCACGTCCTTCTGTAGAGCCTGGGGAAAGATAACTCCAATCAACAGTTTCCAATTCCAGGGCTCCTTCCCTCCAGCCTGGAAGGATCAGGACAGACCCAAGTCACTTACCCAGATGTTTCCCTCCACCTTACGGATCACAGTCATCTGTCGGTTGCCATGTGTAATGTCCTTGTAGACAGGGATGTTATGCATCCGGGATCGTCGAACAAAGTAGGGCAAGTTGGGAGGGGGATCTGTAAAGGGGTATGGTATAGGAAGCCAGCTTATCCTAGGCCTCAGCCACGGCCCTTTCCCTCACAAAAACTACTACAAAGGGTTACGGCAGGTGGGGGGTCTGCTTTGAGACAGACAAGGTCTACTGTACCTGGCTACGGAGGGTTGTTAAATCCTACTGGAGAAAACTACCTCCTTCAGGGCATCTCCTCTATCCTTCCTTCAATTTATAGCCAGGACTGAATTTTCCCCTTAGTGCTTTAAGATCCCACCCAGGTCTGCTACCATTTAAGTCTCAAGAAGAAATGAAGCGCTGGGCATGACTGTTCATGCCTAAAATATACAGGTAGTTCAAGGCTAGTCTGGGCCACATTAGACACTGTCTCCAGAAGCCAGGCAAAGTGGTGCACGCCTTTAATTCCAGCATTCAGGGGAGGCAGAAGTAGGCAGATCTCTGTAGTTCAAGGCCAGCCAGGTCAACAAATGGAGTTATAGGATGGCCAGGGCTGTTACACAGGGAAACCCTATCTCACGGGGGAAAAATCAGATATGGTGGTACATTTCTTTAATCCCAGCAGAGGGAAGCTGGTGGATCTCTGAGTTTGGGGCCCACACCTTTAATCCCAGCACTCAGGAGGCAGAGACAGATGAATCTATGTGAGTTTGAGACCAGCCTGGTCTACAGAGCAAGTTCCAGGTCAGCCAAGGCTACACAGAGAAATCCTGTCTCGAAAAAAGGAAAACAACAATAAAAAAGTGTTTATTAGAGTAGGTCCCCCTGATCCTAGGGGAAACTCCCTCTAGAGGACTACTCTCTTCCATTAACCCGGTGAGGTTGATAAATTTATGTAACAAAGAGATGGGAATTAAAGATTTTTTTTGTTTGGTTTGCTAGGGTTTTTTGAGACAGGGTTTCTCTAGATTGGGCTGGTCTCAAACTCACAGAGATCAGTATGTTTCCGACTCCCCTGAGTGCTGGGATTAAAGACTAAAGACATGCGCCACCTCCAGTTGGCTTGGTTTGCTATTTTTGAGGCTGAGCTCCAGCTGGCCTAAACCTTGTAGTGGCAGTGGGATTTTATAAGCATAATCACACACTGGAGTTTGTAGAAAAAAAGTTTTATATGCTGAGAAGATTATACTCATTTTGTTGAATTTGAGGTTAGAAGAAGCTAAATGACTAGTAAAGTCAAACTAACAATGAAGGGCAAAGCTGAATTCAAACACAGACTACCTTTTGCTAAACTGCATTCTCTATTGTACATGGTCAGTTGGCCTGGAAGAAGAGAAATCCAAACACACGGGTCTCCTTTCTCTATGCTTTCTCATTACAAGGGAAGACTTCACCCCAGTAAAATAGAGTTCTACTCTTGGGCCCTTCCCTGGGGATGAGACAATACTAATCCGCCTACATCTGAATAGCACGCCTAAATCCACTGCAAAGTCCAAAGACTCAGCTGGGGCAAAGGACCTTCCTGGTCTACAGCCTTCAAACTTCCCCCATCATTCAGCTCACCTCTGGGAGGCTGCCAGCCACTGGGAGTGGGATAATGTTTATGCTTTGGTGGTTCTGGGATTTTGGTAGGGGGCAACAGGCGCTCCACAAACTGGTATTCATCCACAGACTCCACAAAGCTGGGGTTATCAGGAGGCCCCTGGGTTTGGCTCTAAAGCAAAACAAACCATCTTTCCATTAGTTCACACGACACGGAAGGTCTTTAGTAGGTAAAGAATCAGGCGGAAGGAACAGCGTAAGTAAAAGCGCTGGGAAAGCACCCGACATTTTTCCAGAGTGCAAGGTACCAGGAAGGACTGGAGAAACAGTTCAAACGTCTGATCCCAAGATTTCCCCAGGACTCAAATAGCAAACAGCATATTTAGAAAAGCTAATTAATCATAAGACCAGTCAATATAGTATTCTTCAGCAATTTCTTCTGAACATGGTGTTGGAACTCTCTAGCTCCGAATAAGGTGCTTGAGCCGATCGGGCACCGAGCCGGGACGGGCAGCTGCTCTCGGTCCTAACCAACACGAGGTATGCGGCAGCCATATACCAAAACCCGGACTACCCAGGCTCTGCCACCGGCCCTCTCCTCACTGCACATACCCTCGAGACAAGTGTCAACCCGAGTATACAGGAAAACCTAGACCTCGTAGGGCATGCGGAGATCAGGGTTGTCATGAGCAACAGGCTCACACACAGACTTTTCCCCTCCGCTCCGAACTCTCACCAGTTGCCGTAGCGCGTAGCTCCACCGGAGGTAGCACCCCCAGTCTCGCAGAGCGGGTCGGAAGACAGTCGCTGCCATCTTTGATTGACCCACTGCGCGTGCCATAGGCACGCTCAACCGGTTCGGCCCCGCCCCCTTCTGCGCGCTCCGCCCACAGAGCAAGACGCCTGCGTAATGCGTAAGGGGGCTGGCTAGAGCGGCGGTGGGCGGTACTAATGCTAGCAACAGCGCGGTCGCGCACCAGTGACGTGCCACGCAGCAGGCGGTGAGGACGTGCGCGCCCCCGCTTCTTCCTCTTTCTTGACTCCATCTTCGCGGCGGAAGCCTCGGCGTCCGCGGATTAGGTGAGACTCGGGGGGCAGCTGGCCCTGTTGCTCTCGAGACCGGACCGTCTGCGGGCTCAGAGGTGCGGGGAAGTGAGAGGACAAGGGCTGTTCCGCGGCCTTGTCTCCGATCGCGTTCAGGTCCCTGGCGAGCCCGGCCTAACACATGTGAGACGGCGCGCTTGCCCGCGCCGCTTCCCATCCGCCTGCCTTCTGGGACGCTTCATCCCTTCTCTCAGAAACCTTTCTTTTTTCAGTCGCCAACATGCAGCTCTTTGTACGCGCCCAGGAACTACACACCCTCGAGGTGACCGGCCAAGAAACGGTCGCCCAGATCAAAGTAAGTGTGTAAAGCCCTTTGACTCCACCTAACTGTGCTCCTTTATCCCCAGGTCCTCAGGTAAAACTGGTCTACTTTTAAACTTTGGGTTTCTGTCTGTAGGCTCATGTGACTTCACTGGAAGGCATTGCCCCGGAGGATCAAGTCGTGCTTCTGGCTGGCTCGCCGCTGGAGGATGAAGCCACCCTAGTCCAGTGTGGCGTGGAAGCTCTGACCACTTTGGAAGTAGCTGGCCGCATGCTGGGAGGTAACTGCTTTTTCACTCTGAACTGATGGGATGTATGTAACTAAAGCATGGGACAGATCATTTCTGTTGCAGTACACTTGTGGCTTCTATGGTTTGGTTCTGAAAGGTACTTCAGTCTCTAACCAGACTGGTTATCAGTGTGCTCACTAAAATCAAAATACAGTTGTGTTGGTAGGCGTGTATGCCTTTAATCTTAGCTTTTGGGAGACAGAGACAGGCAGGTCTCTGAGTTTAAGGTCAGCCTGTTGTTGTACAGAGCAAGTTCCAGGACAGCCAAGGCTGTACAGAGAAACCGTGTCAGAAGGAAAGACAGTAATAATCAAAATAGGGATTACAAGGTTTTCAGAGTGCTCTAGTCTTTGTTTTGTATGTAGATGTTAGCTAAGGATATAGAGTCCTTGCTTTAGTATCAAACCCTCAGCACTGAATAAACTGGCCACAGTGACATTGAGACGGGAACCAACCTGGGATAGCTATTCTGTAACCTCATCTCCAGCCTCTGCAGCTTGGTTTCATTCCTTGTTGGGGATCCAGATTTGTCATTAGAAGCCTAAGATTAAGTAAGTTGTTCTGGGCAGGGCGTTGCTTCTTAACTACTGCCTTTCTCCCACCCCTACACAGGTAAAGTTCATGGTTCCCTGGCCCGTGCTGGAAAAGTGAGAGGTCAAACTCCCAAGGTGCGTGCCAGAGTTGGTATTTGGACTTTGTTTTTCCTGTTGCAGCAAAGTCAAGGCCTTTTTGTCTTTTTGCATTCTTTCATAGAGAGGAGCTGGTGGGAAGGGTGCCAGGCATGGGAGAGGTTAACCAGAGTCTTACAAGTCCTTCCCTTTCCCAGGTGGCCAAGCAGGAGAAGAAGAAGAAGAAGACAGGCCGGGCCAAGCGACGGATGCAGTACAACCGTCGCTTTGTCAATGTTGTGCCCACCTTTGGCAAGAAGAAGGGTCCCAATGCTAATTCCTAAGTCCTATTGTGATTCTGGCAGTCTAATAAAGCCCCTTTGTCCAAACATGTTACTGCTTTCTTCATTTGCGAGGCCTTAGGAAGAAATAGACCTCTTGGGCTAGTGAAGTGCGTCTTGGTTGTTAGGAAGGGTAAATGAGAACCAGCTTTCTGGAGCAGTACTAGTACACACCGCCCAAGTCCCAGCACTTGGGAGGCAGAGGCCACCTGATGTACACACAGACACTGTGTCAACCAACAAAACACATTTAGTGTTAAACTGTTGTTTTGTGGAGGCAGCAATGGAAGGGAGGGAAGGGCTTCCGGAGAAGGTGAATCGGTCTTCACTGAATTTGGGATCAGCAGTAGTATCAATAAAATCCAAAGCACAAGGAGCATGGGATCCCTCAGCTTTGCAAATTGGTATTGCCTGATTACACTGGCATCCTGGTCTTATCTGTCCTAGTTTAATCACAGCTGTGGCTGAGCTGCTGATTAATGGTTCCACCTGAGCAGTGAATGGGCTTTGGGTGCACCCAGACCCCATTCTCATGCTTTGGAACCTATTGTCTTGGAATGCACCATGGAGTAAGGTTGCCTTGCAGGACGCCCCATTCCATTTAAATTTTGTTGTTGGTGGTGGTTTTTTAAGATGGTTTCTCTGTAGCTTTGGGGCCTGTTCTGGAACTTGCTCTGTAGACCAGGCTGACCTTGAACTCAGAGCCCTGCCTGCCTCTGCCCCCGCCCCTGAGTGCTAAAATGGTCTAGTTCCAGGACAGCCAAGACTACACAAACTTTGTCTCAGGAAGAAAAAAAAAAAAAAACAAAACAGGGTGATGGTATATGCCTTTAATCCCAGTACTTGGGAGACATCTGAGGCAGGCCCCTGAATTCGAGGCCACCCTGGTCTACAAAGTGACTTCCTAGACAGCCAAGGCTGTTACACAGAGAAAAAAAAAAAAAAGGAAGAAATTTCAACACATCTTGGGGGGCGGGTTGCCCATGCTTTTATTGTTTGTTGTTGAGACAGGGTCTCATGTAGTCCCAGACTGGCCTCAATTTGTATGTTGATGTGGTATGTATCTTACCTCCAGATTTGGTTTATGATTCAATTCTTGTGGAGATTTATTAATTAGTATTATTATTTTGGGGTTTTGTTCTCACTATGTAGCTCTGACTATCCCAGAACTCACTATGTAGTCCTCAAACGCACAGAAATCAGCCTGCCTCTAGTAACCTGATGCTGGGAGTAACAGCGTGTGTCCCTAGTCACTGCTAAAACCTTAGGTTGTTTTTTTGGTTTTGTTTTGTTTTGTTTCGAGACAGGGTTTTTCTGTGTAGCAGCCCTGAATGTCCTGGAACTAGCTCTTGTTGACCAGGCTGGCCTCGAACTCACAAAGATCCACCTCCCTCTGCCTCCAGAGTGCTGGAATTAAAGACGTGCACCACCACCACCGGGCGACCCTGAGGTTTTGTTGTTGGTTTTGTTTAAAAGGTAGTTTATTTTTGCACAATTTGGTAAAATCACGGGAAACAAGCTGGGATCAGCGACACAACGTTTAACGACACACTCTGTGAGCCACCGTGCTGTGAAGCGCTTGACCGGGTTCTGCACATGCCCAAAGGGCTACTCGGGAGCCGGAAGTTACTGAGAAGCCTCGGGAATGTACTGAAAGGCGGCTACGTCGCCCCACGCACAAAGGCGGAAATAACCGAAGAAGCGCCGGAAGTGGCGGGGCTGCGGCGGCTGTCTGACACGCGGCGCCAGTTGCCATGGAGCCCGCAGGGCTCTGTGGCTTCTGCCCAGGCGGAGAAGCGCTGCCGGCGCGCTACACCTGCCCGCGCTGCAACGCTCCCTACTGCTCGCTGCGCTGCTACCGGGCGCATGGCTCCTGCGCCGAGGACTTCTACCGCGACCAGGTGCTGCGGGAGCTTCGCGGCCGGAGCGCCTCCCCCAGCCGTCTGGCGGGCGCTCTGCGCCGGCTGCGCGAACAACGCGAGACCGAGGATGAGCCCGAGGAACTAGGCCTGAGGCCCGGCCCGCGGCCGAGCGGCCTTTCTGGACTCTGGGAAGGCTTGGCGCCGGCTGAGAAGGCGGCGTTTGAGCGACTGCTGAGCCGTGGCGAAGCTGGACGCCTTTTGCCTCCTTGGCGGCCCTGGTGGTGGGGCCGCGGGGCCGGCCCGCGTTTTCTGGAGGAGTTGGACCCTGCCCCAGGCAGGGATCTCTCAGAGCCGGAGCCCGCCCCTGCGAGCACCGCGCCCGAATCCGCGGATGATGCCGGCACCGCGGTACCACTTGCTGAAGACCCAGCGGCCGCTGGGCCGCCCTCAATGCCCGCCCATATCCCAGCACTGGCCAGCCTGAGCCGCAGCCCGGCCTCGCCGCTCGTGCGCTTCCAGCTGCCCAATGTGCTGTTCGCCTATGCTCACACTCTCGCCCTTTATCATGGAGGGGATGACGACGCTCTGCTCTCTGATTTCTGTGCCACGCTCCTCGATGTTTCTGGAGCCCTGGGCGCCCAGCAAGTCTTTGACTCTACGGAGGAAGCTCTGCAGGCTGCGGCCCACGTGCTGGAAGCGGGCGAGCACCCACCTGGGCCCCTGGGTACGCGGGGTGCTATGCAAGAGGTTGCTCGTATTCTTCTGGGCGAGGGTCCTGTCAACCAGAAAGGCTACACACTGAGAGCGCTGGGACACCTGGCGCAGACCCTGGGCCGAGCCCGAAAACAGGCTGTGGTTAGCGAAGAGCGAAATCGTCTTTATCGGGCTCGGAAGAAGTGCCAGTTCCTGCTGGCCTGGACCAACGAAAATGAAGCTGCCCTCACACCACTGGCTCTAGACTGTGCCAGGGCCCACCGAGATCATGCTGTCACAGCTGAGGAGATGGCAACCCTTACTGGGGAGCTGGAACGGCTTTGGGGAGGCTCTGTGCCTCCTGCTCCAAGGACTCTAATTGAGGAGCTCCCTGGCTGAGATGGATGTCTGTGTTATTAATAAAGATGTCACTGGTCTGCCCAAATGTTGGCAGTACCTTTCTTTTCTTCAAAGACAGCGCCCTATCCCAGGCTCCCTCGGAGTTACTGTGTAGCTGAGGGTGATCTTGAACTTCTGAGCTTGCCTCCACCGTGCATACTAAGCCAGCACTCTGAAACTGAGCTACATTCCCCTGAAGTGTCCACTTCAGAGAAACCAGTTGTTCCACCCGCTCAGGCTCTGGACCCACAAACCGCTTTTCAGCTTTCCCTTGTCAACTTGTCCTCCACCTCTGCCCGCCCCCACCAAAAAACTG